TCACGGTGGTAATTTAATTGTTAACCGAGAAATATTTTAGAGATGTTATACAATTTCTAATAAGACATTATCTTATTTATCAAAGAAGATCAATATATCACGAAAATATCACATTAATTCAATTACCATTTTCAATTTTACTATCTCTATTTTATATACAGATATATATTGTAAATATGTGTATGCGTATTGTGCATTCGTACACCTACACGAACACATTGTTGACATTCCCCAACTTTTTACCACCGTGTTTATCCAGCGTGTAATTCTAATCGTTGCATGTTGCAATTAATCGTATGCAATCGTTCGTACGTGGCCGATGGGTGACGGGCGACGCGAAAGGATAATTGCAGCGCTACCTGACAAGCGCTGTGAAACAATAATTTAGCGGATAAGAGCCGAAGGTGCGCGTCGCTACGCGCGCACCCGATAGAAACCCGCCGTGGAAGCGGGGGCTACAAATTATTTACAGCACGGCGCGGATGCCGCCACGAACTTTACGATTACCCGATGAAGCGTATAATCTGACTTTGTCGTCTTTATGGCGCGGTACCGTTTTTATGGGGTGAGGCGAAGTCGTAAGTGCCAGGTGGAACGCATATTAGGTCCTCGTCGGCTCGCTGCAGCAATGCCGCGTGAGTTTCGACGCCGCTAAACAACCTGACGGTGTATACTCTTGTACTCGTATCGTGCAAGTTCAAGCTGAATTTTTTATGTTAAACACAAATTGTAATCCATCACTGCATTCTGAATTTAATTCGGAGAAATTCACCTGAGAATTAAGATGCGCCGGAGCGTTGGTAATTTTTTATAGATTTTTACAGATCTCTGACGCGAAATCCCAGAAGTGAGAATTTCGCTCGCAATCACGAACATTCAATCAAGCGATGCGCCATGCTGTCTGTGTTTATCTCTCATAGGTCGCTCCTCGCGTTCCAGTTGAGTCGCGGTAGTTTAATCAACGTCCGGCCGTGTGTAATGTGCGCCATGTTAATTGGAATTCAATCAAGGCGCTCGAATGTACTCGGAATTGGACATTACGCATCGTTAATCTTAGGCATTACGGTGCGTTCGAAGGACAGGTCGATTTTATTCCGGGCGAGGACACGCGGAGCGTGTCAACGCCGTCGAGATGTACGTTTAAACGCAATTTGTATTCGATTATTCCGTCAAAGAGCGCGATATCCTCGCTCGGCCGAGGCCGATCGTAAAACACAATATTGCGACATTTGTACCGCCAACAAATGTCGTAATTAAAAATCAAATGGTGGTGTTTCGCTTTGTACGATAACCAAGTCAAATATCCGCTATAATACGAATATCCCGTGAATATCCATTGGACACTCCAGCACGTATGAACATCCAGGAGTATCCAGGAGTATCCAAGAATATCCGGCTGCATGTCTGAATAGTCTTCGATATTGACGTTTTTTTTTTTATTGTTATTATATGGAGGAAAAACATCTCTTATGATAAATATAAAAACCACATATATAAATATAAAAACCACATATATATGGATATTAAATTATTAATTTATGGTTTAAATGTTTTTTTTTTAATGGTAGTATTGAGAATATAGAATATTGCAGGATTTAAGACTCAGTTTTCAGTTTTCGCATTAAGTTCTTTTGCAGTTTTAAGTCATAATTTAAATCAGAGTTTTCAGTTTTTAGACAAGAATTTTATTTAGTTTTACAAAGCTAGGAAAAAAATAAAAAGAAGTATAAGGAACTACGTTACGTTATATATGTTTTTTGTTGTTATTGTAAATGTAATTATAATTATAATATTTACTAAATTACTAACTAATTAACCAATTAATCTGTTAATTATGTTTAATGTGTGTTAGCTATATTTTAATTGTGACATAAAATGATGGAAAATGATGAACAAATATATGTACAAACCGGAAGCCATCCAAAACCGCAAGGGAGGAGGGGATGTTGCGGATTAAAAAAAAAATATATATATATATATGGATATATATAACGGATTTTTTATATTTATATGGATATATATTCTGTTGGTTTTTATATATATCTATATATGAAGAGAAAGTCCGACAAAAAAAAAGAAAACAGGGCACGAAACACACAAAATCCATCATACCGCGTTTTTCATCATTCTCCCGAGTTAGTTCTCCCTGAACAAAGAGTAAGAAAGTCACGTGTGTCTATTCCTGGCAACTTTTCCCACGGAACGGTGATCTCATATGACAGGAAGTGACAGCGATATCGATAACATCCAAAAATCTGAATATTACGGGACATTTTTGGACGTACTCTCGGAGAGACATTCGAAAGTAGAAGAAGCATCGAGTGCGTGTGACGCTAATTTGCTTAATTAAACTGTTACTTTATCCGAGCCGACAGGCCGTCTCGTTAATAATATACAATCTCTCGAATCTCAGGAGGCGAATGCCGATCGTCAGGCATCCCCGGCGGTGTCGTGCTTAATTCGATCATCGATCGTCCAGCGTGGATTCCATGCGCGTTCGCGTTTTAACGTCTTACCTGTAGAAAAAAGGGAGGGCAGAGAAAGAGAGAGAGAAAGAGAGAGAGAGAGAGAGAGAGAGAGAGAGAAGAGCTCCCGACGATCCCGCGTCGAATCACGATCGATAGGATTGACGGCGATCTCTAGATCGCGGACGACGTCAAGAGGAGGAGAGGGGAGCGAATAAAGAAGAGGAAAGGACGAAATCCCGAGAGAGAAAGAGAGAGACGACGGGCCGCGGCCGGTCATCGAGGCAATGTGTGTGAGGCTTTAATTAAGGGAACATATTACCACTAATATATGACGGACAGTGTCAATCTGTCAGGCTACCAAAAGACACCGCTCTGATAGCGGATCCTAGAGACCGGTGCAGCCTATTGGACACGCTGTCTTCGATTTGGTTGTCGCGGCCAATCACCCGGAATTAATACATCGGACGGCTAACCGAGCGAGTCACGCGGACCAGCCTCGCCTCTTTTCGGGTTCGGGTTCAGTGCGCGCTACCCGTGAGGGTGGCCGTACCTGATCGTGATGTGATGAGAGCCGATCGATCGATCGGCGACGCTGCGGTCGTGAGATAAAATTCGTTTATCCGTCGATTCCCACAGTGTCCGCGTGCGCAGGCCTGTGTTTACGTAATATTTAGTTATTTATTTATATCCAACGGAAGAGGATGCGTTTCTCGATCGAAGAGAGTATCAGCCTCGAGGCGAGGCGTACGAAAGTACGAAAGTCGCTGGAGTTGAGTTAAGCCGACGTTAGGGGACTGATAAAAGACACACACACCTGTAAGTTTACCTGTCGCGCGCGTGAATGATACGATAATGACACAGCGTGTGTCTTCGTGTTTTCAGCGGAAATCGCTGACGGACAAGCGAGGAAATCGAAGCAACGAATCGAATGTGCGTGGCGCGCGATGACGCAGTTCGTTGAACTTCAATTTCCCAGCGTTTCGACCAATAGAATATTCTCGTTCGCAATGAGAGAGGCGCGGCCGCATTATCATTATTATCATATTACTACACGCTGTTATTTGTGGCACCTTGTAGTTTGATTTCATAGCCGTATACGTGTCGAAACAGTCCCAACATTAGAGACAGTAGTCATTATGTCCCTCTCCCCCCCCTCTCCCCCACACCCTCTTTCTCACTCCCTCTCTCTTTCCTAGCCACATCGAAGTTGTACATCTAGGATCTACCATTAAGGTTAATTTAAAAATAATTACCGTTCATTCGTCCGTATCCTGGCTGTCGAAAAAGAGGCACAAAAAGCTTAAAAGACGATACACACGAAAGAAAACCGACGAGAATCCGAATTCTACAGCGGCGTAGACCCGCGTCGTAAAACGTTACAATGAGAATCGCGCGTGTTGCGCGAAGACGTGTTTTCAGCGTGAAGTACGCTTTGAAGTCCGGTCCGAGTAAGTTTTCGTGCAATTGAATCGGATTTAAGCGTAATTCAGTATAAATCCCGTATAAAAGCGCGTACCCCATTAACGACGGAAATAACTGAGCTGCGGACGCGACGTCACTTTTTCCCGAGATAACGATCGATGGTGACGCGAGGGAAAAACACGAAGATACCGAGGCCATTGTCGCGCGTCGCGTTTTTACGATCGTTAATACACTCGCGTTCCGCTATAGAGTGGTCAAACGTCAGGCTCCACACGCGGCGAGGCCCCCTTAAAGGCCCCGCACGTAGAAAGGTCCTTAAAGGTCCTAAAGGGGTAGCCCCATTCCGGAGGTGTGTGCCGATCGGGCACCGGCATTTAATCGTAACGAATCGCCCTCAGGGCCCGTAGGGGAGTGTGTAATCGACATCCGGTTCGCCTAATGTCGAACGAGTAGCGCCCTGTAATCTGCCGCTAGTGTGTGCATTGTCGTGCGCGGGGCCCCTTTCAGGAGCGAGAAAGGGGCCCCATGGGACCCGAGATCCCTTTCTCGGCGAGAGAGGGCGAGGCCGGTGCCCGGAATAGCGTCTGCTCGACCTTGCGCCCGTGACTCGCGAATAATGCGACCGGCCGGATTCACGAATTTACGGGATCGAGCGTCTAACGCGTGGAAGGCCGCACGAACGAACGAGCGTCGAGACGCTGAAACGTTAGAAATTCATTCGCTCCGCTTGAGAGAACTGCGGACGATTCGTTGCCTCCGATAATTCCGTCCGATAAAAATACGACGGGCGTCGTAGCTGTCGCTTGAACATTCGCGCGATCTAACGCGTTGCATGCCGCGTGGATTTCCGTTGATCAGCTCGCGAAAGCGACTTAACTGGTGATTAAATTACCGAGGAAACGGCAGATAAATGCAATTCGGGACACATGTATGTTTTCACTTCGTCTTATCGATTCTCTGTTGACTGATTTTTCGGGCTTAATTAATGAAACGTTACACGTAATTTAATGAAACCGCGGTGGTACCGCACAATCCTGCTCACCGGTGACCGTCACGGCATACAACGTGCCAATTATCGTCGAAGTTCATTGTTAAATCTGTGTGTCTTACCGCGCAGCAAGATCTTCTTGAGGGATCTCCTGACGGTCGTGCAGTTCCACCTTCGATTTCGGAATTGATGCTGACATTCCTTCGTACCGACTTGAACACCTCTCGCGATTTCCTTCAGCAAGGACGGCTCCTTGCGACAGATATCGGCGAGCTTCCCCTTCAACCTTCTCGTCTTCTTACAGACGAGCATCGGATCCATCACCACCTGGCTTCCTACCGTCCTGAAAAAACGATTTGTTGCGATCGTAAGGACATTGTTTCCAGTAATCGAGGTTTCTAATGTAATAGCTCCGTCGCGCATGATCCTCGAATGATAATGAGAACGAGACGATTTCGCAATACGAGAGAAAGAGAGAGAGAAAGATTGAGGCGCATCAGACGCGAGAACGTCTAATTGATTTATTTGCGCTTGATACTCGAAGCGTTACGGTCGCGCAAATCGCCAGAGGCTCCGCGAGCTACGTCGTTCCCTTCGAGCCACACGCGCTGGATAGTAGAACGTTCGTAATAATTTACGGAAGCTACAAATCCCGCGGCGTGACGTCGGTTAAGTTGCCGGTTATTTAGCCGCGCAATATCTCTACGCGCGCGTGCAATGTGGGAAAAGAGAGACGATCTCGCGCAGACCCGCGCGAGATTAAGCGGAAGCTCCTTTTCCCCGATGGCTCCTCCGCTAGCTAGAGCTCACTCATACCTTGCTAAAGAACTCCCCCTTCTCTCTTTCTCTCCGTTTCTGTCTCTCGGTGGCTCTCCACTACCGGGAGTGTCGCGCGTCTCAGCGCAGTCCTGATCCTCGCGATTAATCGTCCGCGTTTGAATCCGAATTTATTTCTCCTCGCGCGCGCCTCGTAAATCAGTCGTAGCTCTGCTATTTACAGAGAATTCGGATTTACCACATCAACGCCGCCTGAATATGAGAGATTCGTCGTCCCTAACGAATTCCCACGAATGCCACGAGCTTCTCGCGTACGTCGCACGTGAATAATTAGATCACGCTCGTGTAACGAGCTGAGAGGATGACTGGACCTCGGGAGACAACGTGATAAAATCGGTCGGAGAATTTCTACGACAGCTTCCATTCGTGGAATGTATTCTCGTCTAGTTGTTTGAGTTTAAAGAAGCCGAGTTCGACCAGCTGGCGAAATTCGCTGCACATAGAGAAAATATCGCAGCAAAAATTATCACGAAGTTTTGTAACACTGGACCATACCGGGATTATGACTGAAATTATGATGTGTATTGTAATTTTTAGTGATGTATATCATATGCATACGTCACTAAAGATTACAACACATATCATAATTTCAGTTATAATTCCAGTATGATCCGATATCACAAATTTTATGGTCATTTTTACTACAATCTTTCCTTCGTACAACTTTTGATTTCTTCTTCTCTCTCTCTCTCTCTCTCTCTGCCTTTTTTTAATTCTGAATATAGACCAGATGTCGTCGACACGATCCAACGTCGACACGCGGAACTTTATCGTGGCGATTAATGAACGGTCGCGCGGAACGGGCAGAAGAAGGTGACGAAGAGTGATAGGCCGAAGTCGTGATTGTATGAAGCCGAGGGAGTTCGTGAGGCAGGAGAGGGGAAGGTTTCGCGATGCGCTGCGACGTGGCCTCCAGCGAGAAGGACGACGGGGAAGAACTCGACGAAGTATGCGAGGAAGGAAGAAGGATGATTACAGTCGCGAACAGTATACAGGTATGAATCCGAACACGCTAACGCCATTACGATAATTAAAGCTCCGGCGCGCGTTACACTTGTGGCGACGTAACCAATCCTACGGAGGAAAAATGAAGACATAGGAGGAAGAAGCGACGAATGCTACCGAGAGGAGAAGAGAGGACGCTCCAGAAACGGGAAGAACGGACGTGCCGGGGGAAGCGGGAGGCGAGGATCGAGAGGGTGGTAGGTGGAAAGAGAGAGGACAAGCGGATGATTACGCCGAGCTTGCCAAAAAAGAAAAACAAAAAGGAGGAATAAAGCGGAATGGAGTCCGGGTGAACTACAAGCGGTGGGAACTACGAAGTCGGGGGAGAACGACTCGGAGAGAGGAGAGCACCGGAGGAAGGACGAAGAGAAGGAGGAAGAGGAGAAAGAGGACAGGAGAGAGAAGCGCGGATGAGCGCAGGACGAAGCACGGAGGCGGAAAGGTAAAAAGAGGAACGGATGGGGCGCTGGAAGGGTTGAGGGGGTGATGGAAGGAAAGGGGGNCGGAGAGAAGAAGAGAAGAAGAAAGAGGACAGTCCGGGCGACCTTCGTTACGAAACGTTAATTAAGATCATTAGTTCTGCGTCGGTAGAATGCCGGGGCGCGTACACGACGGCCTCTCGGGAATGCAACGACCTTAATGGCAATAATTCCGTTAAGGACGGTTGCTTGCGCGTCCGTGTACGCCGCCGCCGTTGCCTGTTCCCGATGTGCCCTCGTCCCCCCTCTCCCTCCCTGCCCGCCGTCTTCCCTTCTCGCAAACTTTTCGTTCTGCACGAACGGGAATAAGAAACCGGGGGTAATGCGACGCGGAGAGTCGTGCACGAGAGTGACATCGTCATTTGGGCGAAGGAGGATTCCTTAGCTGGAGTGACGACCGCAGGACGAGGACAGGACGAGGAGGAAGATGGTAAGAAGGGTGGACGATACGCGGACGGGAATTTAAGGGAAATCTTCTCGATCGAGAGAGAGAGAGAAAGAGGGAAAGATCGAGGACTAGTGCGGAATTGTGCCGGAGATATTATAGAAGCGGACGGAGAAGGAAAGAGGGGGAAGAGGGAAGAGAAAAAAAGAAAAAGAGCGGCGGCGTTCTCCCGTCGGAGCAAAATATGGCGCATGTAACGTCTCGCGGGACGATCAGGACCGTTGACAGAGTACAAGCCGCGGGGACTTCGACTCGTCGATATTCCTGTTAAGGCCCCCGATCCCAATAGAGTCTGACGGACGACAAGCGCCGAAGCTTCTTCAATCTGCTGCGTGGGTCCGCCGAAGGGAACGGCGACGCCATATCGTAAAGAGGGAACGTTCGCGTAAAATGTGTCGCTTCGCAATGATCGTCGCAGAGTGTTCGATTCTCGAAGATATATTTGGGCTGTTCGATGAGCTCATGCGGATTTCTACACCCCGTAGAAAACCCGGAGACGATATTCTTGTACATTAAGAAATTTTGTGTTAAATCTAACACATTTTACATTTCCCAGTTGGCCCGCTCAAATTTTCGTGTTAATTTAACGCAAAGTGAATAATGTTGAAAAGTAACGCAAATATTATGTCAAAAATTAACACAAAATTAATATGTTGATCGACGAGTTTATGTTAATTGAGAAGTTTAAAATGGGTTATTTTAATATTTTCGCATATTAAATATTGACGCAATACAAAATGTTTTTTACCGTGTACGAAGTAAAAATATGTGTAACAACGATCCACCCAAATTTTTGTATTACTTTAACGAAATGAATATGCTAAAAAGTAATATGCTAACAAGGTCAATATATTAATTTAACGTATATGTTAAATTTTTTAATATATTTTGTAATATATTCCTCATGTTAAGGTAACATAAAAGTTTAGGTGGACCGTTTGTAACGCAACATTTCTCACTGCGTACAGTAAATGTCAGTACGTACGTCGCCATTGACCTAATCTAATTTTCCTGTAAAATTCACAAAACAATTTTGGAGTTAGTAACAGCGACGTTAAGCGTTTCTTGACATTTTTGACGGCGCTGCAAAGGCACCTTGCAGCGCAAAAGGTCAATGCACGCGATCCTGGTATCCCTTCTTCTCCTGATATATTCTCGACGCGTCATCGTGCGATTTCGAGTAACGCTCTTGGCCTCTCATTGGCCTAAATTTCATTGGGAAAAGAAGTCGAGTTGCACGACGAACGTCACGCGTGCTTCCCAGTTTTGCTGGATCGCGGAGGAGGATGGCTGGCTATTCGCGGTCGCGAGATCTTCCCAGAATTCGCGCATCACGCACTATTTCCCGACATCAATCTGCGCGAGAGAATGCAACGAAACTTCTGGAGATAATGGATGAGCGACATAGATGTAGCTTTTCCGAGAAGTCATGCTTGCACGCGCAGCCGCGCGCGCGCGCGCTGCTCGCACGCAAGCAGGAGTTAAACATTGTGTTAAGCGCGGATTATTGCGGTGTGGGAGTGTTACGGCAAGCCTTACGTGGGGGGG